TGTCTTGCTTTCCAGCATTTTATTAGCTCTTTTGGGGGAGGGGATCAGATCTCAGCATGTAAGACCAGGCTAGCCCCGAATCTGTGTTTCTCCCCTTCCTTGCCTCCTGGGAACTACGACTGCAGGCTAGCACCCCTGTACTCTGCTTTCACGGACGCTGTCTAGCGTGAGGGCAAGAAAGAGGCCTTAGTTCTTCTTTCATTCTCTTTCTCCATTCTTCCCCATTCCTGTCTTCTCTAGGAGTTTGCTGCACTGGGCTGCACAGGGGAGCACCACAGGGGAGACTGCAGAAGTCTCTGGAAGGCTAGAAGACCTGCTCAGACAGGAGCCTCCAGCCTCTGCTGTCCCTACTGCAGTGTCTGATGAGTTTATCAGAACCGGGGGCAGAATCTGAGAGTTAAGCTGCCTGGAAGCAGCACCAGCCTCTGCCCCCTAGACCGAGTTCTCCGGTGGTTTTGAGTGGGACTTTTGGGAGCACATAGTGACAGCTGTTCCTGTGGCCCCACCATGCGCTTCTGGAGGCAGTGCCTTGTGTTTGTGGGCAGGAATACTTAGATGCCAGAACCTAGAGCATGGGCTAGCTGGTGGGACATGGCTCCCTTGGTCCCTCCAGCCTTCTTCCAGGTGCTGTGACACGTGGTGCCAGGTTTTACTTGCAGTAAGGTCTACACTTTGAAGATGGTGGAGAACTGAATCTTGCAGGGTGCCACTCCCATTGGGCCTTGCCTTTTGTGTAGGGTTCTGCCTAACGGCAGCTCCAGGCTCTTTCCTCAGGGTGGGCAGTAGAGGGAGAGGCTTTAGGGAGGAGGCAGGCCTGCTGTTCTCAAGAGCACCCTGGGAAACTCTGCCTCTTTCCTCAGTCTGGGTATAGAGTGCCAGGGATTTGAGGTCTGGACGACTGGGCTTCTGGGGTGTGTGAGAGGAGGCAAGGAAAAGGGGGAGAAAGGTGGGAAGGAAGGGTGCACACTAGGGGTTTTGGGAGCCACCTGGCCTCACATGTGACTTAGGCTGCCATGAAAGAGCAGCCTTGAAGGCAAGACTGAGGTTTAGAGGTATGCAGAGCCTGCGGGAAGCTGTAACTGCGGTACCTTAAGGCCAGCAGTGATGGGAGCAGCATGATGGGTGGCAGGAGGGGGTCGGCTTGAAGCTCTAGGCCTCCGGAATTTGGGGGTACCCATGGGCTATTCTTCCTGGACCCCTGAGAACCTGCTGTGCATCCTGGAGCTGGGAGGAGTTCTTGGAAGAGCACCCAGAGACTCCAAGAAGCTTTCAACATGGCTAGCCCACTGCTCTCTCCATCTCGCTCCCTGCTTCTGCCCAAATGCCAACCTGAAGCAGTCTAACCAAGCTCTTATTTCTGCGGTAAGGAGCCCTGTGTCAGGTTGACAAGAAAAAAACAAGAGGGAAAAAGAGGAAGCCAGAGAACGTGGAGCCCAAATGAGACTCGAGATAAAGCAATTACCTGATCAATACGGGTGAAATTGAGTAATCCAGCTGATCAATACCATGGGCTCACACACTCCTGCTCCCAGCCCAATTCCCTCCTTGTACCTCGCTCCTAGAAATTCATCTGTCAGTCCTCCTCCCAACCCAGCCTTTGGGTCCCTGAAGTGCCACCCTTGCCTCCAACTGGTGTCAGCTTCCACCATGGCTCCTCACTAACTCCCTGCTTTTCAGTGGGTCCCACTGCCTCCTAAATTGACTGCTTTCCTTGCTCCTTCATGTTCCCACCTTGATAAGACAGGGCCTACAGCCTAGGTTGCGTAGGTAGTGAGAACTAGTTCTGCCACACCTGCTATTTGACTGTTTTCAGAGCAGTCCTCCATGTACACAGCCCTGCCCACAAGCTAGTGCTGGCTGAACTGAAATCTGAGGTAGGCAGGGGCCTAGGAGGAGGCCCTGGGCCCCACCCATCCAAAGGTGCTTGTAGGGGCCACCGCTGAAGGCCACTCACCCCTCTGGGGACTGCCAGTGTGTAGGCAGGGACTTGAGAGCTGTGGTTTCGGAGACAGGGTGAGGGCATGAGAACCTTCTCTTACTGGGAACGACAGAGCTCATCTGCCTAAGTGCTGAAAAGTGTGGCAACCTGAAGTTAGCTGCAGGTTCAAGGGTGTGCGGGAGTGCCTGAATGCGTGCTCGTGAGTTATGTGTAGGGTTCGTGGGGTGCAAAGAAGGGCCATGGAGCTGTGGAGGTAGGCAGGCCTGGGGGAGGAGCCAGCATCCTGCCCCTTCACTCACCTGCCTCCTCTACTGCTGGACTGAAGTGCCTGGGCTGGTTGAATAAGTGCATGGCCATGACCACTGCTACCTGTTTTTTGGCAGGTTCTGTTGGCTGTCTGTGGGGCTGCCCTCTGCCCCCACTGCATCAAACTGTGAGCCCTTAGAGAGCCAGCATCAGCACACCAGTGCCCAGCAGGCACCAGCCATAAGTTGGCTTGGTGGCTGGCTCTCTCTGGTCCCAAGGTTGGTATAGGCAAGTGCAAACACATTTCCCGTTGAGAAGCCCAAGGTCTTTAAAGCCTGCAATAGCCTGCCCGTTCCCAGCACAGTACAGCAAAGCAATGCCTGAACCAGGAGCTCAGGGCTATGGGGTGCTCACTGTTGACCTCGGCCATTCTCTTAACTTCCCTGCCCCTTGTTCTCTTCATTGGCATAGTGGGGATAACAATAGCTCAGTTCTGCAGCCAGAGTCCCAATTAACCTGTTGTTAATCTCACCCTCCTGGGACAGAGGCCAGTGAGTTCCTGCGTCCCAGGTTCTGAGGCTGGGACATATCCGGTGCTTGTGGAGTAGGCTTGGTGGACTGACAGAACTGAAATGGGGACAGATGCCTGCTGCTATTCACCTCTGTGGTCTGGGTGTCATCTCCCAGGTTTATGCTGTGCACCCTGCAGTCTGCTGACGTAGTCCCTAGGGACTGGAGCTGGGTGAGAGCTTGGGTTGGGCTCCTCCTTTCCACATGGGACCATCAGCACCCTGCTGGGGTAGGGAGGTGGGGTAGGTGGAAGGAGTAAGACTGCCTGTTCTTCTGCATTCTGGGAATGCTTTAATCTGTGCTTTCTTCCCTTCCTCCAAAGTCTCCTGGCCTCTGGAGCCTATCTAACCAGATGGGAACCTCCACAGGGGCTGGCCATTCCAGCAGCACTCTGGCTAGTCTCAACTCCAGAGTGGAACACCTGGCCTGAGAGCTGAAGAAAACTCAAGACTGGCTTGCCCAGCACATCCTGATTGTCTGATTCTTGGCTGATGGGAGGGGGGAAGTGTTGTCCACGGGCAAGGTGTGATAGTATGAGTTCTGTAGCCAAGAAGCCCTGGCTCGGGTTCCTACCTTCACTGGCTCTCAGATTCACTGTGTGTGTTTCACAGTGGATGTACACTTTACGTTGCTGTCTGTGAAAAGGCTGGTGATACCCTCCTCCTCCTCCTCCTGGCAGTGTTAAGCCAAGAGTGCAAGGCTCCACAGAGGAAGGGACTGTAAGGTTGGAGCAGCTCTGCTTGAATGCAGAGCAGCTGGCACCCAGGGACCTTCCTGAAGGCTCCCCTCTGCAGCACAGGGATGAATTCAACTCCTTACAAGGCCCGAATCAGCATAGGCGGCCCTTATAGAAAGGCTAGCATGTGCCAAGTACGTCACTGCCCTGGTGCTCAAGCATTGGGTCTGGGTCCGTGGCAAAGAATAGGCTGGTTATAGAGGGAAGCCAGGGTCAGACCTTCCAAACTATCCTGGAGTCCACCTATGGCTTCTTCCTGGACCTCTGCTCAGTTGCCAGGCCTACCTCTCATTTTCTTCTCTCCTGCTTACCATCACTCCCACCTCTTGATTCAGAATCTCAGTACTAATCACTAAGTGGTCCCCTTAGGCTGGCAGAGCCTGCTGCCTAGGATTCAGCTCTCTGTGCACAGCTTGTTCTCCAATGAGTCTGTTTCCAGCAGCAAGGGGGCTTAGGAGAGCCTACTCCTTCCCAGCCTGCTGACCTGTCACCATCTGCCCCTGCCTAAATGTTATCCTCTTGGGCACATCGAACTGGCAGGGCAGCACCACAGGCCCAAGGCTTTCTGTGCCCTCACTGGCAGACTCAAGCTCACCACAACCAACAGACACCTCGCCCATCTCGAGGACCACCCATCCCTGCCTGTGCTTGCTTTTTAAGTCACTGCCACTCAACTTCACCTTCTGGAAATTTCTGTTTTGGTTGTTCGAGACAGGGTTTCTCCAGGTAGCCCTGGCTGTCCTGACTCACTCTGCAGACCAGGCTGGCCTGAACTCAAGAGCTCCACCTGCCTCTGCCTCCTGAGTGCCGGGATCACAGGTGTGCGCCATCACCACTACCTGGCTTTTTAAATAACATTTAACACTTGGTCTCTCTGTCTCCGATGGGCAAACAGGCTTACCTGTCTGCACCATTTTCCTTGGTAGGTTATACGGCATTCAGTAATCAAAATTCCTTTCTCCAGTTCTTGTCCTCTGCTGGGAATTACTAAGTTTCCCTAGTACTGACTTGCCATGCACTTAAAAAAAGTCCAAAAAAACCATAACCACAAACCCATATTTATTTTGTAATTCACACATTATAGTGCCCACCGTTATGTAGTGACTTGAATTCAGTTTTTGTTATTTATATTCAAACTGTCCAGTTGCCATTTACTCTGTAAGCCCAGATCATTTTCATCTCCTGCAAGAGGAAGCCACTAGCGGCCATGCTCTGCTTCTCTGGCAAGGACCACCATGCTCAGTCTATGGACGTGTCTGGTTGACATGCTCGCACAGGCGAGAATCCTCACTACAATCAGTGTGCAGGAGTTCCTCCCTAGCCCTATCGCTGCCTTCAGGATGCTTTATTCTTCCAGTCAAGGGAACAGACAGGCTTTGGCACTGTCAAGAGAGGCCCCCAACTCTGCTGGGCTCCCAGAGGAACTGCAGAGTGGGTGAGCTAGCAGAAAGCCTGTGGCATAGCGTGCAAAGAACAACAAAATCAATACTCAGCAAACATTAAGTACCCTTTGTTTTTAAATTTAACTTTAATTTTTGAGGTAAAATACTTCTTCTTTCGACTTCCATAACAAAATACAGAGCTATCAGATACCCCTGGAAAAAATATGTATATTATACATATATTTCTATAACATTACATCATATATATAATATATATGCAAAAATTTTGAAGACTTTAGAAAGCAGAACATGTAAAAGGCACTGCACAATGGTGCTCAGGTTCCTTATATTTTATGTACATATACACATCTTATTCTGCTTACACAGATATCTAGTGAAGTCATCTTCACATGTGAACGTCTCATTCACAAATCCCTGCATCACAAGTTTATAATTCAAAGAATGCCTAAACATGTTGAAACAAATTAACGCATAACTTTTTCCAAGGAGGAACTAATTAGAACAGTTCTTTGAAGACTGAAGCTTTCTCTAAAGCCACATAAAAACATATGCCTCGCTATCGTTTACACAAGAAAAAGCACAAACACAATTATGGAATAAATAAAAAAAAAACAAAACAAAAAACAAGGGACAAACAGCTAAATGATACCCACTTGGCAGTGGAATATAACTTTTTTTAATGCTGCTGGAAGCTTCTTGGCCAATGGGTCACTAGGGTTCCTTGCATCACTGGGCTGGGTTTAATGCAGTGCAGCCTGACACCCAGGGGACATGGATTCTATGTGTCTCTAGAAAAACAGGTGAGCTCAGCAATGCTGAAGCTCCTGAGTTTGCTACTTTTTCTACAGCTAAAAAAGCAAACTGTTTAAATGAAGCTCTTGATTAGTGAAATTTCAATAGATTTACACCTACAAAGTTTTACACATTTGGCACAACAAAATTTAGAAAAAACAAAGAGAGGGAGGAAGTAGGTCTAGTGTTCAGCCCCCTCTCACCTGGCTGTTGGACAAAGAGCCGCTCACAGACGGCAACCATCTTATTTCATACCAGCAGGCTGGAGGCAGGAACCGCCAGGAACAGGCCAGGAAGAGAAGAAAACTCTCATTCCTTTGCCACAGGAAGTATCAGTGATTGACACATTTCCTGGTCCACTTCCTGAGCAAGTCCAAGTTCTGCTCTGTGGAGAGATCCTTCCCCAGATCCAAACTCCAACTGTGTGCAGTGCCAATCAACCAAGAAATTACTGGTGGAATGGCAATCAAAGCAAACAAACAGCAAATAGTTTCATAAAAGTCCAAAAACATTTTTCATGGAGTTCACCATTTTGACTGATTTTCAAGTGTAAAAGCAGTGGCTTATTCAAATGGAAGCAGCATCTAGGATTAATTCCGGCACTTGGGTCTAGGGGTTTTTTACAGGTTGCATCATGGATTTTCCTCCTTTCATTTTAAAGGCCCCATGTTTCTATTCCTGAGTCACAATGACACTTGCTAGCCATCCCCTCTAGCTGGTGGCCAGCTAGCCTCCCTGGTTTGATGGGCAACAACAAGCAGAGAGCCCTCTTCTACCGGCTTGGCTTGCTTTTCAGAGGTACGTCGGGTGCAGAGAAGGAAACTGATCAAAACCACCACCAAAAGCAGCAAGAGTGGTGAGACTTTGTGACTTGATCAAAGCCTGAACCACTAGAGACCACTCAGTCCCTTTCCTGGGGAAAGACAGTCATGACAGGACACTCATCAAGAAATAGTAATGACGCCCCCAAGTCAGGTGATGTCTCTTATCAGTTCTAATGTGTCCTGAGCTCCTTTTGTGCATGCACTTCAGTTAAACAAAGCAAAGACCAAACACTCCACCACCAAAGGACAACACTCAAGTGTTACTTGACATACAGAATTTTCAGCTAGGCGAAAGTGGTGGAATGAGTTACAGCTCTGAGGTGCTGAATGCCATCCCTTGCCTCAGCAGAATCGGAACCATCTGTTCTTGCTGCTCTGAGCCCCTCAAAGCACATGCATGCACAGAGGAGGCTGGTTGTTGCTGCTTTCTCTGCCCTACTGTGAGTGTTTTGTTTCCCAAAAGGTCAGTATCCTCCCATTTCTTTGAAGTTGCTGTAGGAGAATTTCCCATGAAGAAATGACTCCTATCTGTGAACTCTATTTTGTGAATAGTCAACTGATCAGAACATCTGGGCAAACGGGGATCACAGGATGGCAACAGGGCAGACACCAGCTCTTCCCGCACACCCAGCCTTTTGGCATCTGGGAACTTTTGGTTATCAGGCATCTGGTCAGCACCTCCCCCCTTCCATCAGTTTCAACAAACCCTACTTTGATAACTACAGGCTATCATCTGCCTTTCATTCCCACAATCTTGCCCCTTTGCCACCCGGTCTGGTAACATCAGAGGGTACAACTGTCAGCTAAGAATTCAACTATGCCTCAGCATCCCTGGGCTATCTGATCAGTGTCCACGCCCTCACAGGTTCATGTTGACAGACCCGTATCATCTTAAAGCATGTTCATGGTTAAGGCTCGACTTAAGGAAACAGTAAGACAACCAGACACAACAGAAAAACATCTTCAGCGGTGCTATCCCGCTTCCTATAAAACTTGCTCAGTCACACTTGGTTTGCTTTCCCAAACCAACAGTGGAAAAAGAAAAATGAAAACCATTTCTGTCATTTGTTTTGTTTTTAAAGGCATTGGGTTACTTCCTCTGGCCTTTTCTTTCTTCCCTGATCAAGAGTTTACAACTCCTCATGGCTTTTTAATAGGTGAAGTAGGTGAAAGTCCAAGGAGCTTGCAGCCAGGCTTCCCTCCCACCTCAGCCCTGAAGCTGAGGGCCAGGCGGCCCTGTGCCCTCCCTGCCCATTATAACTGGCAGTGCACTCACATGTCTTGACGATATTATCTAAAAACAGGGAAAAAGCCAAATGTGTGCCACCCCTCCCCCCAGACAGAGAGCATGCGTGTGACAGAGAGTGTTGGGGAGGGGAGAGTAGAGAGCATCATCTAAATGTCCCCCACTCTAGTAAGCCTACAATTAGCTTTTTTCTCTCCTGAAATAAAGAAATATTTCATGCTTAGTATTGTTTCTCACCACTCAACCTTCCAGCCTTTTCCTTTTATCTCTCTCTCAAAGCAAAATATTCCATTATTGGCTTTCTATATATATAGCTAAATACAATAGAAAGACTATGGATCCTGAACTGCAGTGGGACTACAAGGTATGTGGACCCTTACAGGGCTTCTCAGGCAGAATTAGTCGTAAGCAGGAAACAGGCTCCTTCCCCCACAGTTCAACAGCTTCCTACTCACCAAGAAAAAAAAAAAAAGGGTGTTCATATTCCACTTAATTTACAACACAAGATAATCGTCTCATCCTCAACAGAAAAGTCCATGCACCTCCCGCCCCAGAATCTTGCTACATAAATTGTGTCTGATTGGGATGTGAACAGCTTCCCTTCCACTGTGGTTTTAAGCATCGGCAGCGGCAGCAGCCACTGTAGCCAGGCCCTGGGGCCTTGCCCCATTCCACAGGAACTTGCCCATCTTACTGAGCTCCCGGGCCTCAGGGTCATCATTCCATCGCCTCTTCAAGCGAAGCTTAGGGGGCATCAGGGCATCTTCTTTCTTCTCAGACACGCTGGGCTCCTTGCCAGATCTGTCCTCCCTGTCTTCAGTCACCTCTAGGGGCTTGTCACTGGGGATGCCCTTGGACACAGAGGGCCAGGTGGGTGAGGGTTGGGCATGTACTGCACCTTTCCCCTTCTCCGTGGTCCCAGTCTGCATGGTGTCCTCTTCCTGGGAGTGCTCTTCCTTTTCTTGGGTCGGCTGCCTGAGGCTCTCAGGGCCCTTCTCAGAGGTGGGCTCCACCTTAATTCGAGAGGGAATAGGGGCACTGGCCGGCACAGGGCCATGTGTGGCCTCCTCACTGCTCTCCACCCTCTCTCGGTGCTTCCGTCCAGCTGGTGGGGGCTGCAGCTTGATAGAGAACTGGGATGTCTCCTCAGAATGCATTTGGCACTGCAGGGGTGGGACCATGAGCCCTGGGTAACGGGGAAAAGTCCGAGGACTCAGATGGTAGTTGAACACAGAACAGGCCTGAGAATGAAGGTAGTGTTTCATTTCCTCTGGGTTGAAGGAGAAGCAACTGCTGCTGGTGAAGGGGCTCAGGCCTGGTGAGGGACTATAGGAGAACATGGTGGGAGTCAAGGACAGGGCTGGTGAAATGGGGACATTGAGGACACCTCCTCGGCCAGGGACTGGAGAGACAGCAAAGGGACTGTGAGGATCAGGGTACATTGTGGGCCGAGTGAAGAGAGGAAGCATTATGTCTGGCTTGCGTTTCTGGTGGCCAAGTCCTCCTCCACTAAGAGCATTTCGAGAGGGCATGAAATCCATGCTCCGGTGCCAGTCAGAGGTCGAGCCATCTTCCAGGTCTGAAGGCTCCACCTTCCTATCAGTGGTCCCACCTGACTCAGGACCGGACACATTCAGGGAGCTAGCAGAGAACCGCCCTGGCTGCATGTCACCCGTAGGAGAATGGGTGTCTAGAGGTGGGAAGTGGAACCGGGAGGCTGTTGGCACTGGCGGAGCACTCTGAGGGACCACACCTGTGACGGAAGAAAAGAAAAACGTCTGCTGCCACGGCCACCTGGTTACCCGACGGCTTCACCTTTGCTTAGATTAGCTACGGGCACAATGTCAAGTGACAACAGGGGACAAACCTTCTACCCAGTCTGAGGCTTTTTCAGGGCTGTTGCTTAGGCTGGGGGAGCCGACACAGGCCAGTAAGCCCAGCACTCAGGTCTGAGTCTTTGAGGGCAGCCTAGTGTTCACGTTCCTCTGGCCTCTTACTTTGCTATCCATCCGTCCTCCTTCCTCCAGCAACGTCGTTCGTTCAGTTGTGATCAACACCCACTGCCTACTGTTTAACATCTCGGTGCTCAAGACTTTAGCTGGATGAATGAATGTGTACAAGAACTTGTGCCCTGCAACTCTATTTCAGTTTTCAACTTCACGAGTTAGGTTTTTCTCACCATCATAATTTTGGCTATATTTATAAAGCAAGGAAACCCAGCAGCAACACAGCCAAACAAAATGCATGCATGGAGCTGCACTGAAAACCCAGACTCCACCTCATGTAAATGGACAGGGACAAGGTCTTTAGTGAAACAGAAGTATGAACAGGTACGTTTGTATGGTTTATCTTTATAATTTTTTTTTTTTAATCTCAGAGATTCCAGTCTTTCTCTATCTGTAGCCCAATGAACCCTATATAATGATATCTACTTCTGTTGTTCTCAAGCTCTGGGAAGGAGGCTGGGAGGAAATTCAGAAGCTACTCTTTCTTCTCTCCTGTCTGACTGCTGGCAGGCATGATGGCTCATGCTTATATTCCCATATGATATGCTTATCGTATTGGGAAGCTAAGGCAGAAAAACTATTGTGATTTGAGGCTAGGTTGGATAAAAAAACAAATTCACCTACCAAATTTCAAACTCTAAGACAAAACTACTTCACACTAATTTGAAAAGCTCATAAATTCTCAATTTCCCCTAAAAGCCCTAAATAAGGCCTAAGAAAGCTGCCACCTGAAGCTTCAGCTGCCTTTAGGTTCCTGGGAGGTATCAGTTGCTGCTAACATGGTGATGTCCACAGAGTTCTTTATACATGAGGGAAAGATGAAAGACAAAAAGGGGGAGGGAAAGTAGTCAAAGTCTGGTGGTCCAGGAGAAACAACAGGATTTAAGATATGTTGTCAAGACTATCGTTTTGACATATAATGTCAGATATCTGACAACAGTTGTCCTCAGGCAACTCTGCAGCAGGTCACTGTGTGGGAGATTGTGGCTTTCTTGGTGCCCATGGCTGAGAGACACCTGTCAAAGCAGCATTTACCTACAGGCATTCATCAGGAAACAGTTCTCCTGTAAGCCTTGTTTTAAAGGCTCCTGAATTAGGATTAATTATTGAGATTAATAATTAGGAATTTCTGCCTAGCGAGTGGAGGGGGGAGTTGTTTCTAACATGGACTCAGTTGCCTGCTTTTGGATCACCTCTCCCTGGCAGCACTGCCTTGCCTGTGGGATGAGGCACAGGGGATGAGGATATGCTCAGTTCTGATGTGACTTGATGTGCTGGGGAGGACTGATATTGGGGTTCCCCTTTTCTGGGGGAACGGGGGAGGGGAAGGGGAAGGTGAGAAAGGGGTACTGGGAAGAGGGGAGGGAGGGGCACCCTTGGGATGTAAAGTAAATAAACTGAAAAACAAAACAAAAACAAATAAACAACAAAAGAGACATTAAATACCAACAAAGAATCTACTACAATACAGTTTGTTTCAAATTGCTATAATGATATTTATTACCCTGAATGCTAATGTAAAACAATTTTTTTTTTTTTACATTAGCTTATGATGACCTTGCTTATGATTTAAATAGAGCCAAGACGGGTCCAGGCCAATGGATCGCTTCTTTAGTTTACTACATCAATTAAGAGTATGTTATTTTTATTATTTTGACTTGACTTATTAAAAGAAATCTTATCTAAGGGCTATAAAAATGGCTCAGTGGAGCTGGGCGCAGTGGTGCATGTGTGTAATCCCAGCACTCGGAGAGGCAGAGGTAGGTGGATCCCTGTGAGTTCGAGGCCAGCCTGGTCAACAGAGCGAGTCCAGGACAGCCAAGGCTACATAGAGAAACCCTGTCTTGAAAAACCAAAAACCAAATCAAACCATCACCAACACAAAGGCCCTGTGGTTAAGAGCACTGCTGCTCTTAAAAATGACCACCTGAGTTTGATTCCCAGCCCACAACCATCTCTAACTCCAATTCCAGGAGATCCAAAACCCTCTTCTGGCCTTCACAGGCACTGTACACACGTGGTGCAAATAAACACACATGCATGCACACACACACACACACAGGCAAAACACAGAGATAAAAAAGTTATTTTAAAAAAGTTACTAGTTAAAAGTGAAAATTAATTTGTTTATAATCTGGAATGCAGTCTACAAGCTATCAGGATAACATGGAGAGGAAAAGAAAGTCCTGTTGCCTAAGCAAGACAGAAATGCTTAAGCCAAGTCAGTTCTGTGTTTATTTTTAATGGTGTCTGTTCTGGTCTGTATACACACACTAAGGCACACTGCTCAACTATTAGAGGAAATAACAGTCATTTCCAAATGCACTTACATGGGGTAAAAGAAGTGAGAGTAGGGCTGATTAACAGGAATTCCCCCCATTTTTATGTATTATATATTGAGGTGTCAAATCTAAGGTTCTGTTTGAAAAACAAGCAAGTAAGCAAGCAAACAAACAAAAACCCCACTGATAAAAAGTGCTAATATGAGTACTTGGAATAAGAGCGCATTCTGGCAGCCACATGAAAGGATCAGAAACCTGAACCTTAGTTCTCGGATCTTCCACCTCGTAACCAGTTCAAATAAAATGCTATAGTTTTTGGTGCTCCCTTTAAAAATAATGCAAATAAATAAGTTCTTTGCCTAGGTTCAAACCCTGATCCTAGCCACGTGTCTCTGAAAAAAATTATCTTTCTGGCCCTGTTTTCATAATTAGGAAGTAATAACAACCCTAAAGTTTGAGACATGGTTAACATCTGTGAGGCTTTTGTGCACAGCAAGTCATATGTTGTTAAAATTTGTTTGTTCTTTTTGAGGCAGTGATTCATTATACAGTCCTGGCTGTCCTGAAACTTGCTACTATGTAGCCTAGGCTGGCCTCAAACTAACAAGATACCCACCTCCCTGCCTTCCAAATGCTTGCATTACCAGCATAAGCCACTATGCCTAGCTTAATTTTAATGATTCAAAAAAAAATTAATATTTTTAAATTAAAAAAAAAATAAATACTGTTTATATATGGTTCATGTTATATTATTAGAGCGACACTATGTTTCCTGGGTAGTTATGGACAAGAACACCCTTGTTCTGAGAGAAAAGCCATGACACCTGCAGTTAATCTCCAGATGTAAAAAGTATCTGTAAATAGAGACAAAGCACACAATGGCAATGATGTTAACCACCCATGATCAGGTGGAGGGTGAGTATTCAGTTCTGAATTAAATTCTTCCTTAGGTTTCAAGTTTTCCCAAACAAGTATCGAAAATAGGGTGGTGGCAGAGACGAATTTGAGAGACAGGTTTAGCTTGCCCTGTCCCCACCTACTAAGAGTTAACCATTTTAAACCAGTATATTCTCTATCTCCCCAATGTTTCTTCGGCAAATTTGACACACAGACAGACAGATACACACGTATGCATTTATAAAAGAGTATAAAGAACAAAGTACTTGGATTACCAGCATGAGCCACTATTCCTTCCTTCCTTCCCTCTGAACTTAAAGAGAACCACCCGCCTCTACTTCCTGAGTGCTGGCATTAAAGATGTGCACTACCACACCCAGCCCTGGCTTAGTTTTTAATGGTTCAAAAAAAATTTTTTTTTTCAAAATTGAAATACGGTTTCCATGCAGGCCATGTTATACATGGTACACACATGTAACATGCATATATAGAGATAATAGACACTGCATATAGATGTACCTTTGTGAGACGGAAACTCTTTATGCAGCCAGCGCTGGCCTTGAACTCTTGATCCACCTGACTCAGCCTTCCAAGTGTTAGGACTGTGAGGTTGCACCAGGCTTGGTTTCTACAAGCATTTCAACACTACTCAAATATTGGGTACTCTACCCTAAAGTGTCTTTTGGGGTTTTCAGGTTACCCTGGAAGTAAATACACAGCCCAGGGTAACCTTGAACTCCAGCCCCTTTGACCTTCTACTTCTCAGGTGCTGGGGTCACAAGCTTGCTCTACCATGCCCAACTCAACCCTAAACTAGTAGCAGTGAATAAACAAACGTGTGTGTGTGGGGGGGGCAATAGTCATACTTACAAAAGTTCTGTATTATCTGGTTTTGTATTTGGCCATATATATTTCTAGCTAAAACCAGAAAGACCAGAATAGTTCCACACATTGACTCTCCTCCAGGGTCTAAGTCCTGGGACTGACTTTCTAGAGCACTCACTACATCCCATCTTGTACACCTAGAATCTTTCTTTCTGCTAACTCCTAAATTCCTCAAGGAAGAGACCTTCCCCATGCTTTCGTTTTCTTAAGGGATTAGCACAGTGGCTAACACATGGATGAACCCTAATCAAGTGGAAGAATGCAGGACACATTGAACAAGAGCATGGTTTAATAGTGGAATGAAGAACTGAGCCTACTTCGTCTCTGACTCTGTTGTCTTCATATTTGTAAAATAAAGTATCAAGACATATATTACTAGATTAGAAGCATAGAGATACTTCACCAAATCAAACCTAACCAAACCAAACCAAAGTATCTTTATAAAGTAGATGTTCAATAATGTTACTTTCCTTTGTCGACATTATGTGAATTTGTTATAAACATTTGGTCTATGTGGGAAAAAGTTCTCTGTAAATAAATCAGTGGTTCTCTGGCATTGTTCTCTATACCAAGAAGCCAACAACCTAAAAGGACAGTTTACTGTTTTTGCTTTTCCTGGGATTATTTTAGTTTTTTCCTTTTTTTATGTACTGAGAGTTGAAGCCAGGGCCTTAAACATGCTAAACAAGTGCTCTTCTGGGCTATGGTAACCTGGGACTTTTGATTAGCATCCTGAAACTATTAAAGATCCCTGCCATTTTAATAGTTTTGGTATAAGAGATCACTGACTACCGTCAGGTTTGCAAACCAGAGCTTCTACAGACCCATATTCCTTGCCTGGGAAAACCAGATTACTGCCAGGGGTAGCAGGACATTCTACTCAAGTTGTCTAAGGGGTTGATCTTCTGGGCTTTCACTTGATGAAAAAGGACCAAAGAACAAGAACAACATTTTAGGGGATGGAGGGCAAGGTTATGAAGCCCAACACATTTCTTCAAAACTAATGGCATATCTATCAGGAGTTCTACTTTCTCTAGGCACACAGGGAAGAAGCAAGGGTAAGAAACAGAGGAAACAGGATTCCAGGGGTTAGAGAACGGCTTTGATTTCCTAATGCAGTTCCCTTAGGCACAGGGAAAGAAACAGGCTGTAATTAGAGTTGCATTCCAACCCCCACCCCAAATGCATGCCCCAGGGACAGGAGGGAGTGGTTACTGGAGAGAAGGAACTGCAGCGAGAGCAGTCGAGCTAAAGCTGCCCTAACCTGTTGTGTGTAGTAATTACAATCTAAGAAGATCTGAGTATTAGATTCTTGAAGGCACACCCGCCTCTAATTTTTCAAGTTTCTGCCAACCTGACTACTTTTCTTCAAAATCATTATGTTTTCTTTGCACAGAATGCCACAAAGAACAGTGATAAAACTGGTCAAAATGGTACCTGACACCTGTAATCCTAACACCTGGAGGATAAGGCAGGAAGACTGACTGCTCTAGGCCAGGCTAGCAACAGAGTAAAGGTCAAGACCAGCCTGATTACATAGTGAGAGACCTGTCTCAAATATAAAAAAGTGACTCTTAAACAGGGGGTTAATTTATCATCTTTTAACCCCCTGCACACAAACATAAACCCCAAAAGCAAAAAAGAAAACTCTAACCTCCCAAACAACTACATCAACACCTTTGTAAGTGGCTGCATCTCCATCAAGAGGCAGACCAAAAGGCTGTGAGCTGTGAGCAATGCTGTAACTTGTACAGTATAGGGGGAAGCCTGCTTGCACTTAAAAGGAGAGGTGGCTAGGTAAGTCCAAAGCCTTGCACTGAGGACCGGTGCTGAGTGCTGCACATCAAAGACTCAGCCTTTCACTGCGAACATGTGAACTTCCTCTTCTCTGATCAAGGATGCTGTGGTTTTGATGACATTCACGTGATAAGGCAGAGCTTGTAGTTTCATAGAAAATCGGAAATGCTTGTAGAAACAGGTTCACAGCTATCAAACAGCCATTGGGTAAGGTGTTAAAACAAGTCTTGAACTTAAAGTTCAACATAAACCTATGGACTTATTCCCCAAAAGTAGTTTAGTAATATCCAGGAGGCTGAATATCATGCCTCTAAAAGGGAACTAAACCAAGTAAACTAAACAAACCTATTAGAGTAGTGCATAGCCTATTAGCCTTTCAGGTGAGGATGACCTGAGGTAATCTCAGGGACCACATTATATCAATGATTCTAAAATCTCCTTACACAGTGCACGTCTCAGATTTGGGTTTTTAAAAAGTCTTTTAAAATTCCGAATCCACCACCAGCATCCATATCTTACCGCTTGAGCGGATGTTGATGAAAGGGTAGCTGGGCACCACCAGCTTGTTGAAGTTAAACTTGTACGTGAACCTCTTCCCTTTTGTCTTATGAAGGATCCTCTTGTTGTAATAGTATCTACAAAAGAAGAATTCATGGTACAGCATTTGCTATACTGAGGCAATTACAAAGATCAATTCTGGCTCTAAGCATTGCCTATAAAAACCTTCACCATCCCTTTGTAGCCTGGAGTTAGGGCTAAGACAGCTCACTTTACTCATCCACTTTCAACTCAGCTGTAGTCTGTGTAGTCTTGTTTTAACATCCCAAACACCTTCCTCAGTTCTAACCACTCACCTTTTCGTTTCTCTACGGTTTCACTCCGTAGTCCACTTCCTTCCTGCGCACTTTAAATAACTGTCTAGTTTCTTTCTGTCTTGCCCAGGTCAGGTCAAGTCTTCTGGGAGATCTCAGAGGATTAGTCAGGAGCCAAGTGCAAGGAATAAACACAGAACTATAAATCTGTTTTATGGTAGCCAGTAAGACAATGGCATGATCTGGAAACAGCAGGCATCCTGGCCTGCTTCGCAAATAGGATGTGGAAGGCTCCAGAAAAGAACTTTACACAGATTTTACTGCACAGATTTAAACTCACACTACTGAGAATGAAGAGACAGAAAACTTCCATCTACCTGGAATCTTTGGCCTGGTTTCTATTAAGTAGCATATATCACACACTACCTGCTGCTCCTTTGAGGACTACAAAGTCATACAACTGAAAAACTGACAGAGAAGAGAGAATGAGAACTTAGAGTGAGCATTCTTTGGACATGCTGTAGCAACTTATAGACTGAAGAGGGGCGGCAGATATGCTAGGTGAGCAGCTGGGTTCAGAGCCACTCAGCAAGTCTCTGTCTCACTTCTCGGAGAGCCTAAAGAAGAGAAAGGACAGGAATTTGCCAATAGGGAAGTCTACACTAATCCTCTGGATTACACAGGAGCCCTAGTCCATGTTTTACCATATACTCTTACCCACTACAGAGCAGAATCAGCTGTCAGGAGCCAGTGCCAGACACCCTAGAATTCCCTCCTCTTCACCTCCTGTGCCTCTAAGCTCCAATAGCTCTTTACTCACACTTTTAAGTTACACATTACTCACTAAGAGATGCGCCTTTCATCACCTGACGCCTGTTAGATGACACTAACAGCACTGCACACTTTCCTGCTCTGGGGGCTCCTTCCTCTCACCTGAGGGCCCGGCTCAGCTTGTCATAGTTCATCTGTGGCTTGCACTTCCTGCGGCCCCAGAGGCGAGCCACCTCATCTGGATCCTTGATGACAAACTCCCCGTACTCTCCCTGCTGCCAGGCGATGACATGGCGGAACTCTTCTTTCTGCAGCAGCTCCAGGATGAAGTGCCACAGCTGGATCTGCCGGGAGCCTGGTGATGACTCCGCTTTGTAGGCCCAATCTGGAAACTGATATCCTTAAGCATAAAAAAGGGCAAGATCAAAGTACTTAGGAGTTAGGTACAAACATGCCAATATCCCGCTCCACATTCCAAGGCTCACAATCTCTAGAGTACTTTGCAAACACACCATTCCAGTCAGCTAGGTTTACGATGAAGAGGAGAGGAAAAGATGGAGAAATTACCCATACTTGTGTAATCACTGAGTCTAATAAAAGTTGGGCAGCAGGTACCTAGGTATCCTAACCCATTCCTTTTCACAGATTCCTAAATGTCAAACCTACTTTTTATTAGGGCATGAAAGTTCTAAAAACAAAAAAACAAAAAAACAAAAAAACAAAAAACAAACAAAAAAAAAAAAAAAACAAAAAACAAAGATAAACTAATGTTTTAGGAACATATGGCAGAAAACCTTATCCCCTGACACTAAAACTTAGAATAAAGGTGTGTGGGCTGCACAAGCAAAATATTCATAGGAAACAAGCCTACAACCATCCTACCGACATCTACAGCCATGAGGCTGTTGATTGCAGTTTAACATCTGCCAACTAAGCCCAAGTGGGGAGAACAGGAACCACAGAGAGGGACATTCCAGATCCATCACAAATGATTAGCCCCTGCTCACCTCCACCGCCTTCTGGCTTTTCCACGATGCTACAGCCTGCTTTCATTTTTGCCCTCCTGCTGAGAGAAACAAGTCACACGATTATTTTGAGATACTATGAATTATCTAACTAACGTTTGGGGTTTTTTTTTTTTGGGGGGGGAGGCTGTGCCTTCTTTTTGCCTTTACTTCTTTTCAAAGCCTTTTGTCTTTCAAACATGTCACCTCTAAACTAGTAATCCTCAAGTCATCAAATGATGGTCATCAGCCTCAAAAGCAATAATTATCTCTCACCTGACTTTAGCCACAAAGCGTAAACACTGTCCTTAATATTTGCTTTCTTCCTTCTGACCAACCCTCCAACATAAAAAAGGGAACAGTGAAACAGAGTCAAAAAAAGGCAGCAAAACCAAGCCAGACAGTTTGTTTTCTATTACTTGACAAGCCCATATGCCAAGATACACAACACTGAGTTTACCCAGATACACCAATTTTAAGAGTGCAGAAAAAAAATCCAAATCCCTACTCGAGAAGGAACATATGATTCTGAGCATTTACTGAATTATGTGAGGTGGAGAACATCATCTTTTGGTCAGAAACTTCGAACAATATTCTGAGACAGAAAGAAACATGCCGTGCGTTCAGCCACTCTATTCAAGAAACATATCACTTTCCTAAAATTTCATGGAAAAAAAAAAAAAAAAGTAATGCCAAACCTTTAACAGGGAACTAAAAAGGATAAAGTAGGTACTTCAGATCCCCTGTCAGGGGTGGAAGGCAGCCTGCTAGGATATGAACTCGTTCATGCAGATTTATAGTTTCTCATTAAATCGCCTATTCCTAGTAGCGGACAGCTTTGTGTCAGTCCTTCACCAAAGAAGAGAGGGTGAAACTGGCAGGGAATGACGGAGGAGGCGAGAACAGACTTACTCTCAACACTGCACAGTGGACAGGAAGCCCTGGCACAGAGAGCAGGTCTGGAGCAACCGCAGGTGCCTCAGAGGCCCCAGGGTGGGGTGGGACCAATTCCTAATCTTGGAAATTTCATCTAACCTAGAATTCCTCTAGGTGTTCTGCATTATCTTTCCCGACATATACATTATGGAGAACGGCAAGTTTCAGTCCACGAAAACACCAAGGACTAAGCAGCTGATAAATGGCTCAAGAAAGGAGGTAACAGACAGACACTGGCTCACACAGGATATACAGGGGTAACAGGGCACCAGGGCTGGGCAGGAGCTTCCTCTCCCATTTCCGTGATAATGGGGTTGAAGAAACACCGATTTCCCCTAAGCTCCGGGAAGCTGTCCTGGACTAAGTCCTAGATTGCGCCGTCGGATGGCAGGGCCTTCCGCTGCTCCCGAACACCCTTCAGCCGGGTGGCTGTGGTCTCGTGCTGGGCGACGCCCGAGCCGGACGCCCGCTCGGTCCTCCGGCCCCGACATGCCCATCAAGCCCCTCCGAGTCCGCAGGCGCGTCTGCAGGTGTCCGCGATTCCCCGAGGGCGCTCGGTCACCCGGCCGGCCTGCCAGCGGGCTCGCCGCGCCCGCCCGCCCGCCCGCCCGCAGCGGCTCCCGCGGCCGCTCGCACCCGCGTCCCTTCAGCGCCGCCCGCGCGGGCCGCGACCGCCGACGCCGACCTCAC